GCAGTTATGTGTTTCTGTGTTTGTTAGTATACTGCACTGAACTGTAAAACTATAATTGTAAGTTTCTGTGGTATCCTACTTTCCTGCATTAGACGAAGTATTACGTTATATTGTCGCTACCGAGTGCTGTATAGCAAACGTCCGTCTCCACCTTTGTCGGCTGATTACACTGAAGACAGAATACGTCCTACAAAATTCATAGGGGTCTGCAGATATAGCGATTTTCCGAACAAAAAGGGCGGACAAATTCTATTCACGAATCGTGTTCAGCTTTATTGACTGAAGGAACTTACCAGCGTCTCCACTATAGCCTGAGACCTTTAAAAAATATCCCGACTCCTCATTCCCAACATTGAAGGTGCTGTAGCTTGCATGTCGAGAATTTCCTAAGAAATCCTTCAAGTCGAATCGTATAGTGTAGTTTCCCGTGTTTGTAATAGTGTGGATTTTGTCATTCCCTGTCAAAAAAAAAATGTGTCGTTTGTTCATAAAGATTGTTTTGCATCATTTAACATATATGTGTGTATTTCTACAAAAAAAAAGTCTGAACAAAATTATGATAAACACAGCGAATCTTGTGTTACGCTTATGATTTCATTAAATACTTATTAAATTTAATTTATTTAATTAAACCAACGTTTATAAGGATTCAAATTCTAATAAAGGAAACAAATAAATTCTAGATGATACAGATCCCAACGATTCTCTTAAAAATTACCAATTGCATTTGCTAGACCTAAAACTACTAGGTCCAAAACGTACTGACATTCCCATTTTTTACTGACAAACTTAGAAAATTTCTGACGATGTGCTGTCTTTACTGAAAACTTAGAAAATTACTGACCTTTTTACTGCTGGTGCTAATAAACTTAGAAAAGTGCTGACAATCTTAGTCGGTGCTGATAAACTTTGACAATTACTGACCCGTTTACTGTCCCTGCTGAAAAACTAAGACAAGTGCTGACATTTACTGATAATTACTGTCCATATTGTTCTCGCTCTCGGGGAAGCTGCAGAAGTGTGATATTGATTTTTTTTTATTTTACAGAGATTTTTCTTTTATTTTTAATAAAATATTTTCATATTCAAATGATCAAATGACAGTTTTGAAAAGCTCTAATTATCAATTTATATAGAAAAAATATCATTATTCTCGAGTGAGGGGTAGCAACAATGATTTGAAAATGTGTGTGTTATTGTACTTTCAATTGAGAAACAGTCTTCTTTAAATTTATTTGAAACAAAGTTTCAGTTCTAGGAAAGAATACTTATTATTGATATCATATCTGTACAATAATTCATGACAAAACGCTTAATTAATTAATTACAGTGTATGTGTGTAATAAGTTTAAACAGGGACCTATATAGTATATAGGTCCCTGGTTTAAATAAATGTGTTGAATAATTTCACTTCATCCTTATCCCTGTTCAATCAATTTATATAAATTGCCGGTAACAAGATACAATGTAGTTTTCATCATATTATTCTTTTGAAGACAGATGCTAAAGATACCCCTATTTAATTAAATGTATAGTTGCATATTAAGTATTTCCTGTTTTCATCGATTGGATTGTTTTTTACATGTATGACAAAAAGACATCTTTAGTTCTATAAAAATCTAAATAAATTCTATTCAAATTTGAATTATAACTTAATTCGATAATTTCATTTCTAAATGGCCTTGGACATATCTGTTCAAGTCATGCATGTTACATATACATATACCGCTGTTTGGGATTTCCGGTTTGAATCGATCGATTATAAATGATCGCGAGTTTTCTACTGAAAATGAGAAACATGGTAAATTTCTAGCGCTTCAAAATATAAACTGCGCCCGGCAATTTTGGTCATAAATACATTATATTATAATGAAAGGTTTATACCTTATAATATTAGCACTTATGCATGTACTAGGTTACATGTAAAACGCAATATTTAGTACACATGAAGACGATTTATTTTGCATTGCACAGATTCCTCTGACCACCTGGTACAATCTACAATTGTAATTATTATATTTCAGGTTTGATTTATACTTTATAACTTTCTTTTTTAATAAGATGAACATTTTTAATGTTCACTGAATGTCCCCACCGTCTAACGTGTCGAGTTGCCGTTCGTCCCCCCCTCTCTCTTTCTCTCTTTATCTCTCTCTTTCTCTCCCTCTCTCTCAGAGAAGTTAAGAAAATATACAGTTATTCCCAGCTTACAAATTTAAATCATTTTGGAAGAATAAAATAAGCACATTAATATAATGAACAGTAATTGTAAAATGAATTGGTTCATTTATATACTGAACAAGAGTTCCTGATTACACTATGAATGGTCCATTATTATTCTATTTTTTTTATGTAAATGGCGTTGAGATTAATAACACTTTTTTGTGGTGATTCTTAAAATAAATCCTCGGAAAATAAAAGTTAGATACAAAAGAAGTGGATTTTTATGCATACTCAGGAATCTATATAGGCCAATAGGAAAGTTAGTATATACATGATGATTAATATGTAACTGTAGGTCCCTGATAGAGTTATACATACAAATACGATTAGTTTACATAGTATCGTTTAATTTACAGTATCAAATTAGGGTTAAAATGTTCTACTGCACCATAAACTAACGAAATGTACACATTGCGGTACGACATCAAAACCTCACCATTTAACCAAGCGAGAAACTGTCAAAAATTGTTCCGATTTTATTGACAGATCAATCGCCATGCAGCACAAAAAATTGAAATAAAGATTATTACTGGTTCAAAATCTTCACAGACATTGTAAATTATTACCTTAAACACCTTTGAAAAAGCTATCGGAATACTCTCTTGGTGGCAGAGGATAGTTTCGAATAAAGTACCGGTCAAAAAATAGAGAAACCTGAGGTTTGAATGCAAATTATAGGTAATTTTATAGCTAGAATATTTTATGGGTGCATTTGGAGGGAATTTGTGGCCTTGTATATTTTATTGAAATATGACACTTTAGTGTCACTACTACTGTTTATGGGATATGGACTAGAAATACGAAACTAAGCTCAAAACTCGCTCTACCGGTATTTCACCAGAAAAGCGGGGTGGGTTCACAGGATGAATTGTAGCTCGAAAACGAGGTGGTTGAGCCATTATCTCTTGCTGTTCACTGGTATGTACAAATGTTATTCTGCAATTTGTGCGGTAGCTTAGGTCAGGCGCATGGGCCTGGAAGCAGATGCGGCTGCGGCGAAATAGTGAAAATAGGCTTGATTCACATGAAATTTTGAGATTGTCCCTGCGCCATCTTTAGGGCTCGTTGTGTAAGTTGTACATGTTTTATTCCTAAAAGCTTTAAATTTCTCAAGGGACTACATCATACTATTATCACATGTAGAGGGAATTTAAAATTTTTCAATGCACATTTTTAAAGTAGCTCAATATTAGGTAAACCGTCAGTCAAACGTTTTGTTTGCAAAAAAAAAAAAACTATCCTCTGCCACCTTCTTGCCCATGTAATGATTTGATAATTCGAACTTTGAAAAGTTTGTCAAGTTACGAACGTTCGTAAGAGGTAGGGTCGCGTATCAAAACAGCTGATTTTATTCAGATTGATTATCTATTTGCTCTCTTTTTGTGTAAGCATAATAATGTAGGTATACCAAATTTATGATTCATCAGTGAGACATGCAAACGTAAGACAGAAAAAATAAATAGGAGAAATAATTAAACACGGTTATTACTTTTATTGACCTGCATGTGTGCCAGATTGTGAAAATTTATAATACATCTTGATTAACGATAGCATGTGTCATGCGCCCCCCCCCCCCCCCATTTCAAATTAAATATTACTTCAAAGAGTATTTTTCTTAGCTTGAAAGGCATGAATTGCCGTCAATATATCTGCTAAAGTTCTTTCTAAAAATAATTATTATCCATTTATTTATTTATTCTATCACACAATACAGATCGAATAAGTTGCCGTGCATTACAAATTATAATTACAGTTACAAATTTCAGACATAGAATTCGACCTGGAGATGTTTTCTGTTAAAAGAAATAAAATGAGTATAAATTGAATAAATGAATATTAAGGATTAATGAAAATGAATATAGTTTAGCAAAAAAAAAGAAAGAAAGAAAGATAGACATTATTAAGAATTACATTGTAAATTAAAGGAATATGAATGAATAAATAGATAATTTTTTTAGTCGGGAGTAAAAAAATTCATGGCTGTATTATGCTGTAAATATTGTGCTTCTGAACAACATAATTTTTTTTTATTAACATCTTTTCTGCTGAAAAGCTTGGAAGTTTTATATATTACCTTATGATATTTTTAAGACACATAATTCTTCTATAAATTGATCATACAATCTTTTTATAAATATCATTGGGGCATATTGTAATAAAAAAAATATTTTTCAATAATAAATAAAATTATTCACTTAAACAATACTTTAAAAAATCAAATAAACCCTCTTTGAAATAAAAAAAATCAATTTCACACCACACCACTGCAGCCTTTCCGAGAGTGAGAACAACAGGGACAGTAATTATTGATCAGTAAATGTCAGCACTGATCTAAGTTTTTCAGCAGGAACAGTAAACGGGTCAGTAATTGTCTAAGTTTATCAGCACCAAATAAGATTATCAACACCGGCAGTAAAAAGGTCAGTAATTGTCTGAGTTTTACAGTAACGACAGCACATTCTTAGAAATTTTCTAAGTTTGTCAGTAAAAAATGGGAATGTCTGTACGTTTCTGACTTAGTAGTGATATATTAATAGTATATGCTAATATAATTATATACTGCATAATTATACTTTTATTATTTCCATTGATCTTTAAGTTTTCACTGACTCTTTTTTACTATTATGGCAGAAAAACTGTGGCTGCTCTTAAAATATTTGCTATTAAGTTAAGTGAAAAGTGAATTGACTTTAATTGAAATAACTCGTCTTTGCCTAAACGAACATGTATGTTTCAAGTCAACTACCCTTGTACATGTGTTTTATAAATACCAAGCCAAAATTCATTTGATAAGTTTCCAAACCCGTTCTTGTACTCATTCCAGGTTCTGAAGAAATCCTCGGATCCATCCTGTCTCCTTTGAATTACCTGTTAATGATAAAATTAATTTAATACACTAATTACTTATAATATAGAAAAAAAAATCTTGAAAAAATAAACGTTACTCAAGAGAACACATGGCTCAAAGTATCTAATAGAATATGACCAAAATTACTATCCTGCAACAACTTAAAATCAGGAAATTGTGTATGTTGTCAATTTCAATTAAATGTCACGTGATGATTACCGTCCAACCCCACCATCTGTCTCCTGATCACAGAAAACGTCAAATCTAGACCCGTTGTTTGGAGAAATTGTGTACACCTTACTTTCTGTATGGCTTGTAGCAAGAGGTCTTGACAGTCTTGTGGATATGACGTATTACATGTGTCTATCAAAAAAAAATTATGAAAAAAAATCTAATATTTTTAATTACCAGTTACACAAGTGAATGCCTAGAAATGCCATTGGAAAAAAATGTATAAATTGCAATATCAGTTTGAAAATCTGTTGTATTTTAGGTTATGCAAACTTGGAATAAACTCAAACTGGGAATTAACTTTTTACGGACCTGTTCTTTTCATAGAAAATCTTCATATGAAACATTATTATCATTACTATCCTTCATGAACCATATCTGTTCTTGTATGGTATATTTAGCTAAAAAAATAATTAGAAAAAAACTTTTATCATCATATTAGGCAAAAATTCATTGACATGTTCTTATTTATTTGACCCATGAAAACATCCCACTCTGAGAAGTTTTCCTTCCGATATATTCGGCATTTTTTAAGACTAGTATAATTTCATTCTGAAATTGAGCTTAAATTTACATTTTTAAAGATCAACTACAATGTCTTAAAGAACGTCATGGGTGCAGTTTGTAATTTATGCAGACATTTGATGTGGTTAATAGTTAGTTAGAGCTCATAATGCTCAGATTTGCAAAATTGTATCTGGGACAACACTTTAATTGTTAAGAACTGATTTCAAAATAAAACGAAAATTAAAGACTTAATTCATTTTTACCTTTACTGCAACATTGACAACTTTGAAGTGAGTCTAGCATTGCTGTCATTTTCATGTTCATTTTACTGATATCCTCCTTCAATGTTTCACTTTTATTGTAGATAGCTTCCTGCACTTTTACAATATTTGAGGCAAAGTTGAGAAGTGTATGAATTGAGGTCTTTTCTGTCGCACATTGATCCATAGGTTCTGGTAAAATTGCACTTGTAGTTGGTACCAGTAAAAGTACAAATATACGTTCTTCATTTTAGTGCAAATCGTCTGTTAATAACATCAAAAGCAAACTAAAAATCAGTATGTAAACTCAGAATGTCAAATCTATAACGATCAATAATATATATACAATATAATCATAAATATAAAATCTATAACAGAGATAAATTGCAATAAAAATCAGCTTCCACCAGATCGCTTATTGTAATTTTTTAGTAAAAAAATGCTTGCGAAATAAAAGGATATCAAATGAACATTTATATCAATAGTTCAAAATTCCACGGAATTAGTTGACACTATGATTGTATAACATCAGGAATTAAATTAGCAGTTATAATTGAAAGCTTTTCCACTTACCTTTCCTATGTAAAACTTTTAAGCTGTAAAAAGTAAGATATATTAAAGTGTAGCACATGTGGTAAGCTTGTTTTATTCCGTCTCTCCCTACACATCGTGACGTCGTTCAATTAAAATTTGCAGCAAATTTGTTGCACAGATGGTGAAAAATCATATTTGTTTTTTAAAACGTGTTTAATTCCTTACTCCGCCTCAAAGCCTCTGGTGGATCATGTCAGAGCTTTTACCCCTGAGCTATTTAAATCAGATATCTTGACAGATAATCTCACACTAGTTAACCTGGTAACATGTTTTTCCTATTTATCAGGAATCAAACCTTGGACTTCAGGTTCACCTTGCTAGACAAGCGTTTTCACCACTTAGCCATGGTGATATATAGAGTAAAATTTAGACTTATGTAAAGCCGGAAATATATGTATACTTGCAACGTTAACGTTTCGCGGTTCTGCTGTTAAATAAAAGAAAGTTTTCCATGTCGTCAGGTTTATAATTCGAGGATTTAGGATGAAGGAGAATGCGCAATTTCATATCACGAAAAAAAACCAAAATTATATTCCTCCTTCTCCTTGCAAAATATCTACTTGTTGTTTGATTCTGTTGTTGCGTTTTAGTTTTAGTTCATTAAAAATAGACATGTATATGTCTGGTTTCGTCGTCGTATGTCTTACTTCTGTCTGTATGTCCTCAGTTATGATTTCCAACAGAGGTACTACTTTGTATAATTTTGGGGGTAAACATGTTTTTGATATAAGCTTGTTTAAGAGGTGCAACAAATCAGAATGGAACCATTTGAAGTTGCTGTTATTGTGCCTGTTGCTTATCTTTTTTTTCTAATGTTAAAACAATCATTGCGGGAATAATTAAGTAGTACGAATGTGATGATTAGTTGAATCACCAGTAAGTAATGTAAATTCATTCACTTAATACATTTCTACATATCTGACTATGTAGTATCAGTTTACTACCTTAGTATGTACCCTCCTTTTAAACCTAATAAATTGATGAAAGATACCACGGTATTCCATATTCCCAATTTAGTTGTCAGCTTCAGCTAGATTCTTTTTTAATGCGATATAGTTATTTACAGTGGATATTCTGTATAAAAGAGGATTTCAAAATCGATATTTTACCTTAAACATGCCTCAGATCTGAAAAGTGAATTTTATAAACAAAAAAAAACTGTGTTTAATCATTTTGAATGCTTTGATTATTTTTCTGTTCACTAAATATCACAGAAACCATTTTTTCAGTGAATAATAAAGTTTTAATTCAATGTTAAATCGGCAAATGTTGTTCTTAGAGGGTATCAAAATCTATGGGAGATAAATATTGTGTCTTAATATAGGGTATATTATAAAAATTCCTTTAAAAATAAATTACCTCATATATAATAGTACGAATATTTTCTAGCATTTTGCTTCTTTTCAGTTTTTCCAACAATCATGCTTCACACGCAAAAGAAAAATATAAAACTTAGTAACCTTCTTTATCGCGTACCACAATTGATAGTACACAAAATATTAAAAGACTTAATGTTCGTGCGTTGCATGTGGATGATTTGGATTGCAGATATTCGAAGACTTGATTCAACCTCAAAAACACAAGCAACGAATGCAAAACGTTTGCGAAAGCTCGAGCAAAGGTAAAACATTTATAATCCGTTCGTTCGTAAAGTCTTGTGAAATGCTCGTGCGCCAATTGAAAATGGCCCTTTAAGCATACATTTGTAAAAGCCAAGAAAATTTAGATTAAAAATCTAAAGCAATAAAGATTTTATCAACATTTTTATGAAAATAAATAGAAAGGTAGCCCTCCATCAGCAAGTCGTGGTGTCTCCATATGAGTGAAAAAATTTGAGAGGATCGGCAGCAATCAATCAACCAATTGATCCTAAAAAATCATAAATATTTTCATATTTGATCAGAGAGAGATAAAGAAAGACAGAGAGCTCTCTCTGTGTCCTCTCTCTGTCTTCTCTCTCTCTCTCTCTCTCTCTCTCTGATCTGGACGTTTTGTGAAACTGAATAAGAAGTACCATGAGTTGAATATCTCAAATGTTAAGCAAATTGTGCTTAAATGTTCAGTTAAACGAATTCACTTGCAAGAAATCGGTATAATGATGAAGTAAATAGTAATATTGATCGATCTAAAAGAATCTATAAGCATTAAACATAAAACACAGGAAATTCTAAAGTTGGGATCAGGTGGCTAGGGGGAGTACGTATTCCATGTGCACCGGCCTGTTAACCGGTCACACCTGACGTGAGCTTATATAACATAGAAAATAAAAAAGTAACATATGTACTTTCAACTAACCTTTCCAAAGTAAAGCTAGTACAAAAGCAAGTCAAAATATTGATGGTTGGCACAAGATAAACGATTCTCTAATTCTCGCCTCGCCCTTACAAACATCACGTTTTGTCCATTTATAAAGAAAAATGCAGTATATTTGGTCGTAAAAATGTATACTGGTGTCTCATTATATCTCGGTACTTAATTCTTTTGCATAAAACTTGTAATTTCTAATATTTACTGTAACTTACATGAAATGAAAAATATAATTCTAGCTTTGGTCTAACTTTTTAGTGTCCAATTATTTTCCAAGCTTGCCTCGTTTAATTTGTTGTCTATTTTTAAAACAGGAAGTCTTATTTACCTCCTAAATTGGAGAGTCTCATTGTATCGCAGTATGGGAATACAGGGAAACTTGTAAATGACACAGACCTCAATTTTTATTTTTGAATTTACTATGTAATTCTACATGAAATAGTTAACAATTGTATAAACTAAAGACTTTTAAAAGATGAACTTTATCATAATTTTTACGATGTTATAATTCTAATGGTCTAAATATTATTAAAACGGGACTGGAAATCTAAAAATTTGGTTTTATTTCTTTTTCAAACGGATGTTCCGTACTTCTTAATCATCAAAAACTTAAACATTCAGACAGCATTCAAATTGTCTATCAACAAAAGGAATATAGGCTATGTATCCACATTTTCGCGATATACCGCGATACAATGAAACCCGCGAATTAATAGGAATCGAGTATATATTTTCTAAAACATGTCTAATCAATTTCAGACTCAACCACAAGATATCTTCTAAATCGTGGCATCGCTTTACTTCTTAGATATTTCATTCTGATAGGCTGTATAATATGTACACACCTATTGCCTTGGTGACATTGTCAGTTTTATACATCGTCTCAACCGGGACTCAAACATAAGGTTTTGAGCTATCCTGGTTTGCCTGTTATCAATAAACTCATAAGACTTGATTTATTTAAGGGATGTTTTCAAGTTTCGAGTGAATTATTAGTGTGTAAATAACACAGACTTGATACGTAGGATAATACGTAAATATGCCTACGTGCAAGTCTTATGTGATTTACCCACCAATATTTCACACAAAACTTAAAAATATACCTAATATTAACATTTTACATGTTTCAAAGTACCAAAAATATACTTGATATTTGAATTTCTCGCTGCACTATATCGTTAATTTTTTACATAGCCACTTTGTGATGACACGCTAGCACACATTTCTCCGTATATATTTCTGAACGTGAGTATACACGAAAATGGTATTCAAATCAATTTCACAGTTGGTTAACTAGAAAAACACAGCAAATGTAAATATTGACTGATATTTGCATCAATGTTACCCTAAATACTCTATCAAACTGAGCATATTATCAGAATATGGCATTTATTTTACGTCAATGTGAAGATAGAATAAAAGTGTCATCGAAGTAAATCATACTGAGTCCGAATCAATTATCACAGGAAGAAACAAGACCTTTCAGTTAAAACTGAAAGGCGGCTTTCAGTAACTTTTCAGTGGCCATTCTGCCACTGAATGGCACATACATTTCAGTGACCTTTCAGTCACATTTCAGATACCTTTCAGTCATCATTCAGCGGACACATTTCCGTGAACTTTCAGTGGCCTTTCCATCAACTTTCAGTGACCTTTCCGTCGTCTTTCAGTGACCTTTCCGTCGACTTTCAGTGAACTTTCTGTCGTCTTTCAGTGACCATTCCGTCGACTTTCAGTGACCTTTCTGTCATCTTTCAGTGACCTTTCTGCCACCTTTCAGTGATATTTAAGTCTCAATTTAGCAATGTTTTCACTAGCGTATTATTTTATAATCAGATATTTTTCCCTAAAAAGGAAGCAATATTTTGAATAAAGATTTATTATTCAATCTTAATTGTGGTTTTTTTACTTATCGTGATCAAATTCGGGTACCTTAAAATATGTCTAAGTAATTATTATAATTTTATAAAATATGTGAGACTTATTCAAAATGATATTTAATTTTCTAGTTACATTTAGAAAACAAAAATTCTTCAAGTGATAAAAAATGATGATCCGATAACCGATTCAACATTTTAAAAAAAATGCATAACATTCTATAGTGCTTATACGTGTATTTTTTCATGGAAATATATAGTTTTGATTGATGAGACAGAACCAGTTCTGGAAGATTGCAAGTATTACTGATCAATTTCGTTTCTTAATTATGTCATTGTCAAAACTGCAGGATAGTTAGTTTTTGAAAGACATTATTTTAAATTCATTTTTAATTACAAGAATAAAGAAATCGTTTATACATGCCTCTT